GAGGGACGCTGGCTGAGATCTGAAGAGGCCCTCCCCCCTGGTGGCCCTGCATGCCCACGGGGCTGTCCTCAGCCCCCAGCGCTCAGTGTGGCCGGCAGCGGGACCCCAACCTGCACCTGAGGGCCTGGGTCACCACGGTCGAAGGATGCCAGGGGCACCCAAGGCCTCTGGGGTACCCCTGAGCCTCTCACAGCCGTGGAGATGACCCGGCCTCCACTCCAGGAGATGGAGGTGCCCGACCCCTGGGAAAGGCAGCGGACCTCGGATGCTGACCCCCGGCCTGGAGCCCCCCATGCAGGCGGGGCAGGAGGCCCGCCCAGCAGGGACAGCTGTCTGGTGACCAGGAGGAGCAATCAGGCCTGTCCCCCCAGCAGAGGCTTGGGGACACCTGACTGTGGCAGGTGGCTCACGGTCCCTCCTGGAGGTGCCACCCCTGACTGATTCTCCATCTGCCACACTTGGGGCACGACCCTGAGCGCACGCACACTGTCACCCACACAGTGTCCCCTCCTCTGTCCCTGGCACATAATCAAACCCCACTGGAAACGAGCCAGCAAGACCAAGAGCCTGGCCACGTCCCAGACCTGCCACACGAGGACAGGGCCACTGGCTGGTCACTCCAGGGGCTCTCTGCAAATGGGAGCCAGAGGCACAGAGCTGAGGACCGAGGAGAGGACCGCACAGCGTCCACCCACTGGGGGCACGGGGTGGGGTGGTGGCCTGGCCCGCCACAGGAGACCTGGGAGCCTCGGCCTGCAGGAGGCACCCGGGGACGGGGCCCACATGGGCAGTTTGTCCCAGGAGGGGACACACAGGGACGGCAGGTCCAGGGGCAGGTCCCCAGGAGTGCCTGGCACCGCTGGCCACACGGGGCTGCCTGGACCCAGGGCACCAACCCGCAGGGCTCCCCACCCCAGGCGTGGCCGGTGCCGGCCACCACGGGCTCAGGGATACCTGGGAGCCCACGATGACCTTGCCAGTGTCCACGTCCGCCGCTGGCACGACGCCCGACACGGTGCCGCTGCCCACGGCCAGGCCACGGACCAGCCCTGTGCTGCCCACGGTGGCCACGCTGGCGTTGCTGACGGAGAAGAGGATGTGGGACTGCGGCTGGGGACCGCCCTCAGAG